ACATGGCTAGCCAAGCAATCACTTAGACATGTGTGGACCCCCCAAAACCCAATCATTCAATAACATAATTTTCCTTGTTGACTCAGTCATCCTGAAAGGATAGAACAGGCTCAATCCAGGCTACACACATCAAGTGAATCACAAAACTATTTTATGAAGGAAGACACCATTTTCACTTGGAACTATAATATAAGGGACTTCATTTAGTCCCTTTTTAGGGCCATTTAGTCCAACTCTCTTGTAACAGATGAGGCCTTGAAAGACTGAATAAGTTGGCCAAGATCAAACAGGTAGGAAGTGAAAGGAGTGGGATCTGAAACCATAACTCTTTATTCCAATTCACTGTTCTTTCTACTGTGTGACCCTGGTCAAGAGGGAACCAGAGCTTTCTGGATTAAGGAAAATTAGGATGGGAAGTAGTAGACCACAAGAACTGTAGCTAGATAGTAGAACTGTTAGCTTGATAGTAGAATTTAGAAAGTTTGGAGTCACCTAATTTTGGATGAAGAATAATTTCTTTTGGCATTTTAAATTAATTTAATTAATTTAGTTAAATAATTAAATAAATTATTAAATTAACATTAATCAAATTAATTTCCTTCCCTGGGGTATTATTTCTAAATTTATGTGCCCTCTTTTCACTTATAGAAATCTTAGAAAATGCATCCATAGGGGTAGCTAGGTGGTGCAGTGGATAGAGCACCAGACCTGGAGTCAGGAGGACCTGAGTTCAAGTCCAGCCTCAGACCAAACACTTGACACTTGCTAGCTGTGTGACCCTGGGCAAGTCACTTAGCCCCATTTGCCTAAAAAAAAAAATACATCTATACTCTAGAGCAGGGGTGGGCTACCTGCAGTCTCAAGGCCACATGTGGCCCTTTGACTGAATCCAAACTTCACAGAACAAATCCACACTTGAGGACCTAGAGGGCCACATGTGGCCTCAAGGAAGACCTTTGTCCTCCAGAGGACTTCCTACTAAGTCCAGTTTTGAATGGTATTTCTTGTTTTCTATATCTCAGAAGAGGTAAACAACACATATTCTCTGGGCCCAGATGACCAGCTCTATGCATTCCCCAAGTTAGTAGGTTTAAAAGGTATCAACTAAGATCAAAGAAAGAAGAAAAGGACGCATTAGTACAAAAATAATTATATGTGCTCTTTCTGTGGTGTCAAAAGACTGAAACTAAGGGGATTCCAGCAACTGGGGAATGGCTAAGTAAACTATATGAATCTAATGGAATACTATTTTCACACTAAATGACAAAAGGGAAAGTTTTAGAGAAATCTGGGAAGACATTATCAACTGATGCTATCTGAATTGAACAGAACCAGGAGAACAATGTGTATAATAACACCATTGTAAAAATGAACAATTTTAAAAGGCAAAATACCTTTGATCAATACCAGTGACCAACCATGATTCTAGAGGGCCAGTGATACAGAGTGGTGCCCACTCCCTAACAGAGAGGAAAGAGACATAAAATGCAAAGCAAGTGATACATTTTTTTTGTACATGGATGTTTGTTTTACTTGATTATGCATATTTGTTGAAAAGGTTTTGTTTTTTTTCTCTTTTTTCCCCTACTTGCATGGGGGAAGGTGGGAGGGAGAGAAAATTAATGCTTGTTATTGAAAAAAAATGGATTTTAATAGAGTTTTTTTGTTTGCTTTTTGGTGAGGCAATTGGGCTTAAGTGACTTGCCCAGGGTCACACAGCTAGTGTCATGTGTCTGAGACTACATTTGAACTCAGGTCCTTCTGACTCCAAGGCCTGAGCTCTATCCACTGCACCTCCTAGCTGCCCGAATTTAATGTCTTAAAAGCCATTACTTAGGTGCTCTTGGGAGAGTAGTCTTTAATTCAATCCTGAACTTTATAGGGAGAGGTTGGGGCCCTTGATCTATGATCTCATCATTAGGGAAATTCTTGAAGGCTCACATCTATATTTTAGAATCATAGAAAGTTGCCTGGGGCACTGAGAAGCTAAGTCACTTGCCCATGGTCCCACAACTAGTAGGTGGAGGAGGTGAGACTTCAGCCCAAGCTTTCCAAGGCCAGCCTTTCTGTTTTCCATGTTCCCTCTCCTTACAAAATTTAATTTGACAGCTTGTTGGAAGCACAAGCTTCACCTTCTGACAGAGAGGTGATAGACTCAGGTTTAGAATTAGACATCTAGTTTTTGGACAGAACCAATGCAGCAATTTGTTTTGCTTGGCTATGCCTATTTTTGGTTTTCACCTGGAGGAAAACTGTAGGGAGAAGAGAAAGAAAATTAAGTTTTGTTATTGAAAAAAATTAATTTTCAAAAGAAAAATAAACACAAGGTAAGAATACTGCAGTCTCTACCTGCAATAAAAGGAAGCTCATACCTCTCCACCAAAAACAAAGCCCCCAAAATTTTCCAAATCAATCCTATAACCACAGAATCTCAAGTTGAAAGAAACTTCAGGTGTGATCTGGCCCTACCCCTACTAACCAACAAGGATTCACTGAGTCCCTCCTTTGTTGCCTAACACTGGGCTAGGAAAAAAAAAAAAGGGTCAGTGTTCCAGAGGATAAGTTACTTTTTTAAACTTTTTGATAGTTCCTTGGATTTCTGAATCACTCTTTAATTGTCAAAGTACCTGGACAGCGATTAGTTTAGCCACCCTGTGAGGGAGGTGGGGCAGACATCCATATCCCCATTTTGCACATGAAGAAACAGAGATTAAGAAAGGTTATATGACTACCAGTGGGGTGGCATCTCCCCTACCTCCTGGTCTAGTGATTTACCACGTCGCACTGCCTTGAATTCCATGCCTCAGAGGAGAGAAAGGTGGAGGTGCCCATAAAAGCAGTTGAAGGTGCATCCCCTCATGGTCATAGAGTCAGGGCTCCAGAAACCTCAGCCTCAGTCAGTGAAGCACTGACTTCAGATAAACTACACCATGTAATTTGAACAGCACATGACCCGGGCTCACCCAGCAAGTAGGGACTTCTATGTTTCCAACGTGCTGAACTTGGAGCTACTGGTGTCCATCCCAGTCCCTCCTATCTCCTTTAGGAAGATTTAGTTAGTAATTATTGGTGGAGAACTACATGGTTTAAAGTCCTGTCGTTGAGTCCCAGTAGGCCTTTTTGGAGAACCTTGCATAGAGCATAAAATGCTGAAGATCAAACAAGTTCTAATCAAAATAACCCTAAGTCTGAATCTTTATCTGTCCAATGGAGCAGAAGAACCAAGCTATAATAATTCACACCAAGGGCAACTAGATGGCACACTGTATAGACCACTAGGCTAGAGGTCAGGAAGTCTCATCTTCCCAAGTTCCAATACAGCCTCAGACACTAACTAGTTGCATGACCTTGGGCAAATCATGTAACTTTTGCCTCATTGTCTTCATCTGTAAAATGAGCTGGAGAAGGAAATCACAAACCATTCCAAATATTTTTGCCAAGAAAACTCCAAATGGGGTCACAAAGAGTCAGACATGACTGAAACAACTGAACAAAAACAATATCCTCAGGTGATTAATTAATATAAAAAAAAAAGGAATCACAGTCTCCTGGTACCAGTTCTAAGTAGAAAGAGCCTTAGATTTAGTGTGTGAGGACCTGTGTTCAAATCCTGGCTCTGATACTCATCCAAATGACCTTACACAAGTAACTTCATCTCTCTGGGCCTCATGTCATGTCCTCATGTCATGTCCATCTGATGATGGTCCATGGTCTTTGAGTTAGAAGAGGCCTTAAATGACCCTTAAAAGTCACCTCTGGGAACAGTATACCCCTAAAACAAATAGCTTTTGGGTGGGGAATAATGAAAAGAATAAAGAATATTGCTGTATTTACTGTTTTAAAAGAATAAAGACAATGGCACATTCACAGAACTGGTCTTTAAACCACTTTGCAAAATACATTGACCCTTCCCTCCTCTTAAGTCCCTTATTTGTCATCTTCTAGCTGTCCGGAACACAGATGGGAAACCAAAAAAAAAAGTATGCATAAAGGGGTATCTTTATGTTTGTAGCTAGTACATAAGAGGGCTCCTCGTGCCTTATTTACTTTTACTCTACTCCTAGTTCTAATGATCCCATTGATTGAGTAGGTTTCCCTGCTGCAACCAAATTAGAAGTCATGAAAAGCGGTGTGTACAGCTGGAAATGACAGCTGTCATCATGCTGACAGCTTGAATTTGAGAGAGGAAAAAAAAACTATAAAAAGCAGATAGAATTTTTAAAAGCACAGCAGTAATATACAGCCCTACATCCCCTAAGGGCATTTCAATAGAACAAATGATGTTCATAATGATAGGCCTGAATCATCAAGAAAAGTTGTTAGTTGTTAGTTTCAGTATTTCTTGCCTTAAGAAGACAGGGAAGTGTGAAATGCTCCAGAAAGAGTTTCACTCAAATATTTTTTTTAATTGAGAGCTTAAAGGGATAAAGCATCAGTTATCTAGAAAATACACATGCAATACTTAATTGCCTAATGGTGCCCAAGTAAATGAGGCACTACCCGTATTCCAGTGATCACTTGGACTCAGCAGATTTTATTTTGTCTTGTTTTCCTAAACTAGTTTGAGTGAATAGCCATAGAATAAAGGGGGGGGAAATCCTTCAACCAACAGAGTAACTGCTTCCAGATGCTAAAACTTTAGAACTGGAAGACTTTAGAGTTTACCTAATTCAGCCTCCTTGTTTTGTAAATGGGGAAACTGAGGCCCAAATAAGTAAAGTGACTTGCCCAAGATCACACAGATCTAGAGAACCAAACACAGCTTTTCTGATTCCTGGCCCATTGCTCTTTTCCCCAATACTACAGCCAAGCCTGTGATTTTTACAAATCGAATTAACTCCAAAGCCAGAGAAGTTCATTGATTTCCCTCCAGTCAAACAGGAACCTAGGTCTTCTTTTGCTTTTTAGGTCATTTAAGTTTCCACTATACTACTAAGGATCCCTTTGAAAACCTCCCCTGACCCTTCCCACCATGGATCTCCAGATACCCCTGCCCTCACCTGCAGAAAGCAGTGCCCCAAAGGGGCATGTTCAGCTACGCTGGCATTGTACACCTGTCGCTGGAAGACCGGCTCGTTGTCGTTCACATCCTCCACAGTCACACTCACCCAGCAGGTGGAGGAGAGCGGAGGCTGGCCGAGGTCCTGGGCCACCACTTGCAGCTCCACCGCCTCCTGGACCTCCCGGTCCAAGGTCGGGTAGTGCTTACCACTCCGCTCTCTGGGTCCACAGCAAAGGCCAGAGAAGGGCATCTTGCTCCAAGCGCTGAGTCTTCAGGGCTGCAGTCGTTCGGGGGCTGGACCTGGGTTAGGACATAGCGCACCCTGGCCTGGTCAGTGCCTGGTTCGTCTCTGTCAGTTGCGCTGAGACGGAGCACTGCAGTGCCGGGCGCCGCGGCCTCAGACACGGAGGCATAATAGCGCTCCTGACTGAAACGAGGTACCTGGTCGTTGACGTCGGTGACCCGAAGCAAGAGGGTCTCCTGGGTGGTAAGGGGCGGGAACCCTGAGTCCGTGGCCACCAGTAGCAGCTCGTACTGGCTGCGGCTTTCCCGGTCTAGGGACCCCTCCACGCAGAGGAAGAACACATCCCGGGAGCCTCCCGGGCGCAGAGCGAAGGAGCCCATGCCGCCCTCCAAAGATAGTGTGATGCCTGAGCTACCACCTTCTCTACCCACTACAACCTCGGTGGCTTCCTTCTCGTCAGGGTCCCCATCCAAGTCAGAGACGGAGACACGGGCTACATAATCGCCGCGCCTGGCGCCCTCTGACACCTGAGCTCCGCCGCCTTCAGTTAGAAAGAGCAAGTGAATGGTGGGCCGGTTGTCGTTCACATCCAGCACTGCGATGGATACCAGAACGCTGGCGGCCTCAGGTTCCGCGCCTCCGTCCCGGGCTTCCACAACCAGCTGGTGCCAGGACTGGGACTCTCTGTCCAGAGGCCGGCGCACTCGCACCAAGCCACTCAGCTCCTCCACAGAGAAGTAAGCCCCATCGCTGTCGGACCCGCCCGCGGAAGGCTGCCTGGCGCGGAGGCTGTAGCGCACTTCTCCATTGGGCCCCAAATCAAGGTCTGTGGCGTGCACCCGACAGACCAGCGTGCCCGGAGGAGCGTCTTCGCGCACAGTGGCCCGGTATTCACTCTGGTTAAAGACCGGCGGGTTGTCGTTCTCGTCCAGTACGCGTACCTCCACTTGCAGGCGGCCAGTGAGCCGAGGGCTACCACCGTCCCATGCCTCTATCATCAGTTTGTGAGCAGAAGCAGCCTCACGGTCCAGACGCCGCACCAGTACGAGGTCCAGAGGCTCCAGGGGTGAGGAGGAAAAGGAGGAGGAGCCCGACGAGGAAATCTGCTGCCCCGGGCCTCCGTAGCGCAGCTGGAAGAAGTGTCCCTCGGTGTTCTTGGCGAGTTCGGGAGGCTGCAGCAGGGTATAACCCTGGGTGCTAAAAAGCCCCGCGTCTGGGTCCCGGGCCCCGGGCAGGCGGAATGCTGTGCCCGGGGGGGCTGAGCTCGGAGACGTCTAGTTGCAGGGAGTCACTTGGAAAACAGGGTGAGTGATCGTTCACGTCGTTTACTGTAATGTCCACCTGCACCACGGCTCCCAGCAGCGTGGCCGCCACGAAGCTGTAGCGGTCCCGCCGCTCACGGTCCAGGCTCCGTGCGGTGCGGATGATGCCCGTGTCGGTGTCCACGTGAAAGTCGTCCAGCAGCGGGGAGTCGCCCGAGTCCTCAGACAGGAAGAAGCCGTCTCCCACCCCCTGCTGCTCACCGGGCAGCCCGGCACGGATATCCCCAACCAGAGTATCCGGGGGGAGCCCTTCGTCCACCGCTAGGCTGAGGTTGTACACCTGAGCGGACGAGCCGGAGGCAGTCCACAGCCACATGTAGAGAAAGAGCCCCAGCAGGTAGCGCAGCCGGGCAGCCAGAGTGCACAGCTGTCCACCGCTGCAGCCGCGTCTCCGCTTCTGGCTTCCTCTCTCCGCGCGGAGCGGGAGCTGCTCCCTAGCCAGAGCACCCCATTGCAATCCTCGGCACGTCTCCCTTCTCCTGGGGAACATCAGGCGTTGCCCGGTCGGGATTTCCTGCTGTTGCAGCGCCTTGCACCTCCTTCTCCCAGCGGGGTTCATTTCTTCCCCCTCTGCTCACCTCAGTTCATACGCTCTTTGGAAAACTGCTGTTTATCTTCGTAGCTGTAGGAAGAGCCAAGTGCCTCTACAGGGAGCCTCCTTCAGGAACCGGCGTTTCAGCCAAGGAAGAAAGAGTTTGTTTAGCAAATAGACAAACAGCAGTTCTGAGTTCTCAGGGCTGCACTTTGCAACTGGCAAAGTCTTCCTCTGCCTAGAGCATATGAAAGACTAGAAAGCTGCTGCTTCTGCTGCTGCCGCCTCTGCCCTCCTCTCCGGGCTTCATCCTCTGGATTTTCTTAGATCCATCTCATCTCGGTTTCTCCCTCTGCCGTTATTCCTTTTACATCTGTTCCTTGTTCTGCTCGGCTGGTTGTTTCCCCCTGGTAAAGTCAGGTGCATTATTTCTTTTGCCAGAAAAGGAGGAAATCATTTTAGCCGCGCGCACACGCGGGGAGGGAGAGGAGGAGGAGAAAAGGGGAGGGAGAAAGTTGGTGCGGTGAATAACAAGTGTGTGAGTGAAGGGTTGGTGGGCGGGGAGGGACAGCTCCCTAGCCGTGCCTGCGGCCGCTTCTGCTCCTCCTGCTCGCAGAGCTGCGTCTCTCCTCCGCAGCAAGGAGAGCGAAGAGTGCCGCGCCCCCTCCTCTGCCGTTTACCCCTCCTCACCATGTGACTTCGCTCAGACAAGGGCAAACTCCAACCCAGAGAGCCGCGGCACTGCCGCAGGGCACGATTCCCCTGCTGTGTCTGGCCGCTAGACTCCCGTTAGAGGCAAAGTGCTAGGGTTAGACCAGGAAAGGGAAGAGGGAAGGCAGCCCCGGGAGAATCAAGAGAATTGGACGAGGGATAGAAGGGTTAGGGCTAGGGCAGGCAGCCTCGCGTGCAAAGCAGTGATTTAGAACCGTGGGGAGCAGCCTTCTCCCCTGGAAAACACAGGGCGCTTGTCTCCGGAAAGGGGAAGGGGGTTGGGGGCTCTAATCATTTTGGATAGCCAAACTTGTGTTCTGCATTTGGTGAGATAGATAGATAGACTTGTCCTCAGCGGAAGGACAGATGGAGTTGAAGGAATAGCAGCACAGCTGGTGCGAGGATTATTACAGAGAAGGGGTGGGGGGAGGGCAGGGCGGTCCTCCTAGGAAAAGCCTCCAAGAAACCGAGAAGTCTGTGAAACACATGGGTGTAAACCACAGTTTATTATGCCGCGCTACTACTTAGCAATGTGTGAGTTTCTTGCTGAGCAGCCCCCACTCACTCTACCACCAGGAATGTCAAAGGAGAAAGTCTGGGGGCTCTTGTTATTCATTCATTGCAGGACCAGCTACAAAATTGCTAACGTGTTGATTTAGGGAGATATATAGCATCTGGAACTCCCCAAAATATATGCAATACTGAGAGCATCACTTCCCTACTGAGGCACCAGCTAGGGCCCCTTTCTCTGAGGCGAAAGTTTTCCTGCGAACCATAACCCTTACACACACACCTCTACATTTTGAGAATCTAGCTGAGCCTGAGCTGAAGCATAATGGGAGCACTGCTCTGTCCCTTCAGGCATCCACAGAGTAAGGATTGACAAGTGAAACAATCAAACAATAAACATGGATTAATCCATACTATATACCAGGGCTGAGCTAAGCGCTAAGGCTGGGGAGACAAAGAAAAAGCAGAAACAGTCCCCGCCCTTGACAAGCTTACATTCTACTAAAAGAGACAACATACATAAATCAGAACATACAATACAAAAAGTAGATGAAATGTAAATGGCACTAGTAGTTGAACAGACCAGGAAAGGTCTCATGGAGGCATTTGAGCTAAGTCTTAAAGGAAGCCAAGGAATCTTCCATTCCAGACACGAGGAATAGCCAGTGCAGAAGCACAGAGGGAAATGGAGTGTGCCCTTCTAGGAACAGCTACTAGATCAGAGAGCCTGGATCAGGAGTAGAGGAAGGTCTAAGAAGCCTTGGAAAGATAGAAAGGGACCAGGTGGCAAAGAGCTGTAAATACCAAACAAATGACTTTATATTTGATCTTGGGGTTAATAGGAAGATCCTGCAGAATGAATCACACTCTAGTAAAATCACTTTGACAATTTAGTGGATGATTTGGAATGGTAAAAGACTTGAGGGAGACCAATGAAAGGGTTATTAAAATATTGCAGGTAAGAAATGATAAAGGCTGAGTGGAGAGAATTTAGATAGATAGATAGATAGATAGATAGATAGATAGATAGATAGACAGACAGACAGACAGACAGACAGACAGACAGACAGACAGACAGACAGATAGATAGATAGATAGATAGATAGATAGATAGATAGATAGATAGATAGAGATAGATAGAGATATGAGAGGTCTTAGAGAAAGAATTACAAGAAATGGCAATTGATTAAGTTTAGGGGGGAGTGGTGGTGGTGGTGACATTTCAAGCCTGGCTGATTGAAAGGAAGATAGTGCTCCAAATTAATAGGGAAGTTCAGAAGAGGAGAGGACTTGGATGGAAGATAATGAATGCTGCTTTAGCCATGTTGAGTTTGACAAATGGGACATCAAATCTGACAAAGAGTTGGTGTTGCAGGACTGGAGCTCAGAAAACCAATCATGGAAGGGCAAATAGATCACTGAATCATCTACACAGATAGTCATTGAAACAATGGGATGAGATCACCAAGTGAGAAAATGAGAGATTATAGAGAAAAAACAAAAGAGGGCTCACAACAGAGCTGTGGACAAGTGTCCTAGAACAGGGATGCCAGATAAAGGCTGGGAATCTTTTATGGAATGAATGATTATCCATTTCTATGAAATGATTCCTATACATGTGAACGAGGGGAAGAGAAGGAATCACTTCCAAGAGCCATTTCTTTTCTTTCAGCCCAGAGAAATGAAATGTATTTGGCTATTACAACCAGCAGTAATAATGAAATCTGTGTAATATACTGGTATCACCAAACTTGTTTTGTGCGTAAGGGTTGCACCAAAGAAAGTGTACTATATAACTTAGAAATGGTAAATATAAAGGAAGGTATATAATTGTGAGTGACCGTCCTGATATAATGGAGCCAGAAGTCCTAGAAACTGAAGTTGCTTTTCACATTTGTCTGCTCTATAACATTGGGCAAGACAATTTGCCCATTTAAGCCTTAGTTTCTTCAGCTGTAAAATGAAACTAATAATATTTGCATTTGAGCTGCAGCCTGGCATAGAGGATAAAGGCTGGTTTGGGTTCAAGCCTCACATCTATAAGAGTATTCATTGGTAGAGTTCCTCACCAGATGTCCCCTATGCCTATGAAATCACTAGTCTGGTCCAAATATGATGCATACATGTGTTTATATATATTTATATGTATGTTATGTTTAGAAAAACATATACACATGTGTATGTATAAATATATGTATGTGTTTATATATACATATGCATTTTATCTCAAAAATATTGTTAGAAAGCTGATGTGGAAATGTGAACTTCTTTTATCTGGTTTGAAACACTGGAATCTTGCCATCAGGAACACACATTTAAATCAAGCAGAATTTCACAACACAGTGAATTATATTCAGTGAGGTTATTTTTGTATCTCTTTAATATTCTGATGTGGCTTTGCTATAGAATAATGCTGGTCCCATGGCTGAGACTGTGTGATAGTGCAGTGGCTTCCTAGCCCTTGAGAACGAAGACCCTTTTTTAACGTAAAATAAAAAATTTGTCAACCTCCATGTAAGGGATATACTATTGAATATCCATTGATTAAGAAAGCATACCATACCATAAAGCTAGTCTAACTTCAATAATACTTTTAAATACATCTTATTCATCACAATGTCTACATGCATGTGAAAAATAGTGATACATAAATGTACAAGACATTTAGTTGGTCTACAGAAGGCATATTTGCTTATTATGAGTCTCAGTGCATATTTTGTAGGAACTCAGTAAAGATCTAAACATCATTTGATTCACATATAGCTTCTCAGCCCCCTTGTATTAACTCTAAATTCCCTCATGGGTCCTTCAACCACAGTTTAGGAAGTTACAGTTTACTGAGATCTTAAGCTGAAGTCCATGAAATACACACACACACACACATATACATATATATGTACATATGTGTACATATATACACACATACATAAATATACATTCATATACATATATATATATATATTTGATGATTTCATTTCAGTATAATTGATTTCCTTTTGTAATCCTACATACTTTATTTTGTGCATTTAAAAACATTATTCTGAGGAGTACATATGCTTTATCAGACTGTCAAAGGGCTCCATCACACACAAACCTTAAGAACCCCTGCTTAGTGAAAGACTCATAGAAATGGTAATCAGGGGGGCAGCTAGGTGGCTCAGTGAATAGAGCACCGGCCCTGAAGTCAGGAGGACCTGTGTTCAAATCCAGCCTCAGACCAAACACTTGACACTTACTAGCTGTGTGACCCTGGGCAAGTCACTTAACCCCAATTGCCTAAAAAAAACCCAAAACAAAAACAAAACAAAACAAAAAAAGAAAAGAAGAGATAATCAGGTCATCCAGGTTATAGTCTGCCACCAAACTAGCCATGTGACCTTAAGAGTCACTTCCCCTCTCTGAGGGACAGTTTAAGTGACTAGCCCAAGGTCACACAGCTAATAAGTATCTGGTTTGATCTCAAGTCTTCCTGACTCTAGGCCCATCATTCTAACTACATGTATAACAACTATTATGGCCCTTTTCAGCTAGAATGTTCAGAGGCTATAAGGTGGCCTGGTCCTTGGAATCAGGAAGACCTGAGTTTGAATCCTGCCTCAGACATTTATGAGCTATATGATTTTAAGAAAGTCACTTAACCTTTGTGTGTTAGTTCCCCATGTGTAAAATAGGGATAATAATAACAACTAGGCTGTTATGAGGATCAAATGTAAAGTACTTCACAAATCTTAGGGCACTTAAATACTAGTTTTTTCTCATCAATTAGTAACCTTAAATACATAAAGGCAAAAACTCAAATACGGAGAGAAAGGTCCAAAAAGTCATTTAGTCTAGGCTTCTTTTTTGTTTGTTTCAATTTTGTTTTGTTTTTTAACTGAGGCATTTGGGGTTAAGTCATCTGCCCAGGGTCACACAGCTAGTAAGTATCAAGTGTCTGAGATTGGATTTGAACTCAGGTCTTCCTGACTCTAGGGCTGGTGCTCTATCCACTGTACCTACCTGACTGCACCTAGGCTTCTTATTTATATAGATGAAGAATCTCAGGCCCAGAGAAGCTGTGACTTGTCCATGGTCACACAGGTATTTAGTAATGGGGTGCGGATTAAAAATCACAGAATTAGAAGAGTTAGAAGAGACCTCAGTGACCAAGAGCACATCCCTCCTATCACTTTTGGCAGGTCTCCCCACAATCATCTCATCTCTAATCTTTAATCTCTCCCCATCTGTTGACTCCATCCTCTTGCCTACAAATATGGCTAGGTGTCCTCCATCCTTAAATGTTTTCACTTGACCCCACCTTCCTCTAAAGCTATGTCCAATATTTCTCCTCTCTTTCACAGCCTGAGGGGTGGGAGAGGCTGTTGACACTCATTTCTTCCACTTCCTTTTGTATCTGACTATCAACCTTATCACTCAATTGAAACTTCTCTCTTCAAAGTTACCAGTAATCAATTAATTGCAAAATCCAATGAGCTTGCCTCAGTCCCCATCCTTCCAGGCCTCTTTGCAGCATTTGACACCATTGACTACCCTGTCCTCTTAGTTTTTATGATATTGCCCCTTCTTGGCTTTCTTCTGTCTGCCCACTCTTTCTCCGTCCCCTTTGCTGGACCATTATCCATAGTCCAACTTGTAACCATGGGAATGCCCTAAGGCTCTGTTCTGAACTCTCTTCTCTTCTTTCTCTAATAAACTCACTCACTTTATCTTGCTCAGAGCAGGCATCCACATCACTTTTCATCCATTTCTACCCCATGCTACCTTTACTCTTCAATATACTCCTTAACTCCTGTCCATCAGGATTCCATGGCCTCTGACCCTAGATCCTCAGTTTTGTTA